AAGACAAGCCCTACCTGTCCGAGCTTTTGCTGAGTGACTGTCCCATGAGGCATTTCAGGATGTGTTGGGGCCTGGAGATCAGGCCTCGATGTTTTTGGACGTACAACATCAGAGACCAGATCAGAAGAAATTGCTAGAGACTTGGGTCTGACAGCTTCAGCACCCTTTCCCTCTGAGGAGCCTTGGTCCCCTCTTCTGATTGTGTCTTCATCTTCCCCTTCAGAGTCCACAATAAAGACATATTCAGCTTTGAAGAGGCCACTTTGCTGCATTCCTTGAAGTTCGTTTGCTTTAAATTCTCTTCCTTGTGAAATCTTTCCAGTGATTTCTAAAGGACAAGTCAATGTCCCTAGGTCTCTCTCTTGTTGGTTCCCAGGATTCAAAGTCAGATAGTCATTGGAATTGGACTGCAAAAGATGTGGAGAGAGAAAAGTATGGACATAGGTTTAAGAAATGCTGTGGGGTTTTTTTTTGCATGTACACTGAAAAACTTAACCTGATTATAATCTGCAAGAACAAGAGTTTTTAAAATGATATTGAAGCCATCAAGTTGACCTGATATGGGTGGTAGAGCGGTGGCTGGAATCTAATCATTAAGTTTAAATAGCCAACCAATTTTTCCTGGTGCAAGGGCTCAGAATGAATGTTAACAAGCCCATCTGCCTCCAAATAAACTAAGATATTATCATTGTTAGTAAAAATCTTGAAATAACTACTTTTTTTTACACCTGGCCTGAAGGAGGTGATCTCGTGAAGTACACAGAGATTAGATAAGGGTTCAGTTGATGAACAAGCAACATGAATATCCTTTACAAACTAGCAGAGAAGTGAAATACCATTGAAGGTTCTAAAATAATGTAAATGTCTCTAAAAAATCTGAGAAGAAAACCAAAATTGGAATAAAGTGCATAGATATTGAGACAACATAATGTAAGCTAAGCGGGACAAACTCATGAATAGGACATTAAAAAATGTAAATGTATTTAGTACAAAGTATTTTCTGCTATGCTATTTTAATATGGATTCATAATTTTAAACCTCCTCAAAACAAATTTGTATTGATAAGCAGAAAACTTATAGATCAAGATTTAGCTAGCTTTATCTAGCTATCAAAGTATATTTTTCTAAAGTGGTAATAGCAACAGTGTATATTAGAATTGTATTGAAAAGATCCAATAACATTCTCCCGGTTTTCATACTATGATATGGTTACCATTATTCTTTTTTTTAAGCCTCAACTAATTTCAAATTAAAGACATTAGATAAGCAATTTCAACTGTGGTAGTCAGTTCAGTGTGAGCCAATATTTTGCTTGCATGATGTGTGTAAAGATAGAATAGAAATCAAATGAGTGATTAGCTATAACTAAACTAAGAATTTAACTGTATACATCTATCCCATAGTTTTCAGCTGCTGCTGCTGCCGCTATTATCAAAATAAAACACAAACTGCCTGTGATAAGATTTTTCTGCCAATGGTTATTTTCCATATTAAATTATAGTATTACATCGTAACAGAAACCCAGATTAGTAAAATAAATAAATAAATAAATAAAAGTTGTGTGCCCAGTTAACTGCAGTTCTGGAATTCTCAATAGCAGTCCGATTCTTAACCACTACATTACCAGAGTCCTGGTGTGGCGTTGTGGGTTAATGCGCTAGACTGCAAAGTCACTTTGAACTGCAAGGTTGGTGGTTCAAGCTCACCAGTCGCTCCTTGGAAACCTTCTAGAGAGTCGCTATGGGTCGGAACCGACTCGATGGCATTTAAGAACAACAACAACATACTACCAGAGCACCTTTAGGTATGGGTGGCTAGCTTCATTTTTATGTTCAATAATTTATTCAATACATATTTACAGAGTGCTAGTGAAGTAGTTAAGGAGCTCTGGTAGCGTAGTGGTTACGAATCGGACTGCGAACCTTAAGGTCAGCGGTTCGAAACTATCAGCCGCTCTGCGGGAGAAAGATGAGGCTTTCTACTCCCGTAAAGATTTACACCCTCGGAAACCCTGTACAGGGTCGCTATGGGTCGGAACCGACTCGACGGCACTTAACAACAACAACAACAAGTGTAGTAGTTATGAATCAGGCTACTAACTTGAAGGTTGGCAGTTTGAAACTGCTGTGTCTGCGGGAGAAAGATGAGGCTTTCTGCTCCCATAAAGATTTACAGCCTCTGAAACCCTGTGCAGGATCACTATGAGTCTGAAACGACTCGATGGTATTTAACAACAACAGCAACAACAGGCCCCTTTATCTCTATTTAGCTCTTGTTGTTAGGGTACAAAGTTCTTGGAAGGCACAACTCTTGACTAACTATAATGGAATTCTCAGTACTAAAACTCACATCCGGAGAAGTTGGCTAAGGGCTATGGCTCACCGCATGCACTCTGATGGAAGAAGCTAGCTGGTCTGTGAAACACAGTTCCAAAACATTCTTGTGCCATTGGCTAAGAAGTGAATACACCAAGCAGAGATGTTGCTCCTACCCTTGAAATTTAAACTCACTTTAGCATGTGCATCATAAAGTTACCCATTCAGGATAAATGTCCATCAGATTTTATTCTGATTGTGTTATATCTCTAGTATTATGTCTGATTTGATTAGAAATGGAAAATGCTATCAAATAATTGTTCATTGTCAAGTATCAGCTAAATTGGTTTAAGATGATTGTTACTGCAATCTCTGCCAAGATCCTCCAACTGTCGTGCAATGAGTTCCTTTATGTGGTCTTTTACTTGAGTTCTTTGGAAAAATAAGTTGCAATTTTCCCCAAAAACATAGAAGATTTACGTTTGGCCCAGTTTTGTACACCAGAAGGTTTGTTATGTTCATCCAACTTGATTAATTTATCATGGGTTAACTGTAAATAAAATTTAGTTTGATACTTCTTTTCTGCCCTGGCTGCATGCTGCCATGTAACAGATGAGCATTTTGCAAGAATTGGTTAGTAAGCCCCATGACTGAAGTGAACATGGACAATGCATGGCCCACTGAGCAAATGATATGTCTGGGACCTGCCAAAAGGAGATTGGTTGGTTTGTGACACCTAATGGGAGGTCCATGCCTTGAAATTGAAAAGAAGGTATGTATATATGCAGTCAACTCCAATGAGATTTTCAGAGACAGACAGAAAGTTGAAGAGAAGCAGGGGAAAGACAGAAGGGAGAGAGTAGAGAAAGGAGGCAAGAAACCTCCTAAAAGAGTTACAGCACTGGTCAAAGGCTGTAACACTGAAGACAGTAGTAGTCCTTGATGGAACTCAGTGGTAGAATCAATGGTGACAGATGGGAGAATCAAAAGGAGCTTGTCTTGAGGTGGCTGAGAGGAAGCCTGTCCTGAGAGAGAGAACTGCACAGCCCAGAGGAGTTGAGAGAACTCTACACTGAAGAAGGGAGACTTTGCCTGCTTGCTTCCTAACCCTCATTCTGAGTTGTAACCTGTTGATCCTGATTACAAATTGTAACCTGTTATTCCCTTAATTAACCACTTAACTATAAAAAGAAAAGGGGAAAAACTGTTGTATGCCATTAGTAAATTTGGACTCCTAGTAACCCTATAGAACAGAGCAGAACTGACCCATAGGGTTTCCTAAGTTTTAACTTTTACAGGAAGATAGAGCACCGGGTCTTTAATCCCAGGGAGCTGCAGGTGGGTTTGAACTTTTTGCACTGAGTGCTTAACCATTGTACCACCAGGATTCCTTAAATTAAAAATAGAAAGATTTGGACAAATTGCTTATGATAGAGTGTATCAGAGTAATTTTTAAATGTTGAACTAGATTTGTAAAATATCAAAAACAATCTAAAAAATCTCCCTTTTCTCACACTCTGTTGTTTTCTATTCCTTTGCTCTGTTGCATTTTTTTTCACAGCATTTATCACTACCTGAAATTTTACCGTATACACTTTACCTTTTTTCATTGTCTGCTCATCAATACCAATTAAATTCATATGAGAATATTTCTTATTCGCATCTAAGTCCCCTGCCCCATGCTCATAATATACGTTCAGTAAGTATTGTTAAATGTATCAATGGACAAGAGATTATTTAGCCTATTGGACTATAACACTGATCTATTTTAAATAGAAAGAAAAACTTTAACCTCCTAAAGTTGTGATTGTGAATGTATCATTGCAATCAGCAGATTAATATCATAGTCTTTGAAGGTTTGAACTGAGATAAGGTCATTTATCTATAGTCTCACATGATTCACTGTGCCTTAAAGCGTGGCACTGCATTTAACCTCACGGTTGGTGACTCAAAACCTCTAACCTGTGCTCAGAAACTCTATACAGGGTCGCTGTGAATCAGACTGATTCAATACAATAGTTACCAACAACAACAAAAATAAGGACTTCTAAGAATATATTACACGGATTTGAGTACTATTAGGGTGAAATTTTCTAAATGTATCTCATGTAGTAGTTAGGGTTATTGTGAAATAATTTGTTCTCTTTGGTCTTTGGGACTCCCTGGGTGGTACAAACAGCTTGAAATAACCAAAAAGTTGACAGTTCTAGTTCATCTAGAGGCACTTTGGAAGAAAATTCTGGAGATCAACTTCTGAAAAATCAATCATTGAAAACTCAGTGAAATACAGTCCTACTCTGACATACATACATGGAATCATCTCTAGGTAACTGGTGGGTTTTGTGTTTGATAAGGCATACCATTAAAAAATCTTGGATGGCAAATATATTACTACTTTCTAGGTAAGATGTTCTTAGATAGACAAGGTGAATCAGGTTAGTTTACTCCCAGTTTGTTCAAGAATACCACAGTCTTGGTGTGGTGTTATAAGGTAAGCACTGAACCCACAAGGTCTGTGGTTCAAATCCACCAGTCACTCCTCAGAAACCTTATACAGAGTTCTATGAGTTTGAATGGACTTAAAAGCAACCACACAGTCCCTTTATTCTCATCATATTTCTAACAAAAGAATCAAAAAATTAAAATACATTTTAAAGAGAAAAAGTACCAATAATCTCAATACTATAATATAAGTCATTTTCAGGTTTGTTATTTTTTTAAAATGTCACTAATCTCCTTTTAGATTGGTGTAATCAAGATAGAAATATAATTATATAATCTATTTTATCACTTAATACCATAAGGTTAATATTTTTCCATAAAATTACATAATCACTATAATTTCAACTTTGTCAAGATGATTCATCAGAATTTCTTTCCTCATTCTCTAATCCATAGATGTTGTTAAGTTCCGTTGAATCAATTCTGACTCATAGCACCTTGTATAGGGTTTTCAATGAGTAGCTGGTGGGTTTGAACCGCCAACCTTGTGGTTAGCAGTTCAGTGCTTATCCTACAGTGCTAAATCAAGATTCCAATAGGTAGACATTAGTTTAGTTTTATTTTCCCTAAATATTTTGCTACATAACTTTTTTCTTCTTTTGTACTATTTCCTTGAGATATATTTTAAGCGTCAGATTATTCAAAGGTTATGAATAATTTTAAGACTGTGAATAAGGGTTTCCTCAAAAAAATATGCACAAACATACTTGTCCAATGCTAGCAGCACAAACTGAGTGTGTCAGTCTCTACAACAATCCCAATGTTGGGCATTGCATTTTCTTTAATGTTACTAATGTTTTATATATAAGGAGCCCAGTGGCATGCTGGGCTAAGCATTGGGCTGCTAACTAAAAGGTCAGTGAGCTGAACTCATCAGCCTCCCCACAGGAGAAAGATGTGGTAGCTTGTTTCCATAGAGATTTATAGCTTCAGAAACCCTAGGGAGCAGTTCTAGTCTGCTCTAAGGTCAGTATGAATAGAGGTCAACTCAATGGCAGTGGGTGATGTTTTACATGTAAAATAATAATACCTCACTGTTTTGTATCTCCATCCAGATTAAATTTAAATATTAGCTTTATAATTTTAAGATACTTTAAATATGAGGAGAGGGATAAAGAGGCATAACATGTCATGTGAATAAGATGCCAGTTCCAAAGGATTGAGGCTAATGTATAAGAGACGGCCTGACATTTGATAACATTTAGGGTCCTGCTAGATAGTTCATCAACCTTAAGTTTTACAATCACCTCACTTTAAGCAGAGGAAATAAACATTCAAAAAAATTCCAAGTCATTGTTTGATATAGAAGAAGAATAAAAACAATCCTACCCTATTTATAGTTTCTGGATTCTTATCACTTGATTCCTCGGGAATTTTAACAAGGAATTTAGAGGTGTCAGCCAACTGAGAGTGGGTTGGTAGTCTTCTGACAGTGGGGACAAATGTGAAGATCAGAGGTTTGGCTTCAGATTCACCCGAAGAAACCTATGAAATACGTAACAAATTAGACTTTCAGTCTCGTCAAAGGTTGGTTTATCATGACTTTTTTCTCTGTATACCATGATATCTATCTCATTTGTTTTGATAAATTGCCTGTTGTCCTATGATCATGCATGTAGCTGCCAAAGAAAATAGCTGTAAATACAGTCATAGTATCAGGACCTTTTAGATGATAACAATTACCAGAGGAAACCATAGCACCCCAGGCAGATCCTATTGTCAAGGATGGCCATAAAACAGCAGGTTGGCAAACTGATCAGATGGAATATTACAGGAAATCTCGACCTCAGTTGGATTACCATAAAAGCAGCATCTGATCTTCAGTTTCAAGTTTAACTTTAATTCATTGAACTCTGAGTTGAGACAGGAGCATGTCAACGACAGAATTCTACACTCCCAATGAACCACAAGTGCAGCCACCATCGATCTGCCAAGGGAAGTTTGCATATTGCTGTTACAGTGAATAAGTTTAAGGGGAGGGTCTAGACTAAGACAGATTAAGAAAAATGGTCTGGCAATCTATTTCCAAAATCAGTCAATGAAAACCCTGTAGACAATGATATCAAATCAGTTTTCCATGAGGTCTCCATCATTCAGAGACAATTCTATCAGAGCTAACACCAATAATCCTACATTATCAGTCCAAGGTGCCATCAAGTCAACTGTCAGAGAACTGTGTTCTACTGAGTTTTCAGTGGCTGATTTCTCCGAAGTAATCAATTCTTTTGTCCTAGGCATTTCTGGGTTGACTCAAAGCTTCAGCCTTTCAGTTAGCAGTTGAGGATGTAAACATCTGCATCATGCAGGAACTTTCAACCCTGAGTCATCAGCCTCAATTTATTGATGCATAATCACCAACTATGTAAGAAACACCCAACATTTCTCATTAAGAAGAACACTGAGACATGAATTTTAAATGGAAGTTATGTCTTTGTGCTTCAATTCAAGGATATACTATACCTTGCATTCATTTATTGTTCATTCAAAAATAAAATTTAATTAAATTTTGCTGTGTGGTAGGAGTTTGGGATACAATAGTGAAGAGAAAATAGTAGATAATTCAAAATCAAGAGATTGAAATAAAGTTACAAATAAAAGTAGTAATATGTCAACTTGGACTTTATCCTGTTCACAACAGAGAAATGACATAGTCAAATTAGAATTGTAAATATATAACTCGGATTTTAAAAGACACAAGGTTAGAGACAGGAACAGAAATCCAAGAGCAATGGACTGAGGAATATTGCCGAAATATAGGAAGAGAGGATAGGAAGTGGTCATAGGCATAGTTTTCAAAGAGTTTACATGACAAATGAAAAGAGAGTTTTAGGATTTGCTGGAAAATTGGACGTAGGGTAGGAGATTTAGACAAGAATCAAGATGAATACAAAAGTTTTAGCAAGAAATGAGAAATTATTCACTGAAATGAAGAAAACTACAGCTAAAGCAAGTTTGAGGAGAGAGATCAAATTTGATGCCCAGTAAATAACCAAGTGGAAATATGGGTATAGATGTCAGAAGTTGAGAGGAAAATCTGTGCTGGAAATATTGTTAAGATTGTTAGCATATGGATGGTATTTACAAACATCAAATTCGATGAAATCAACAAGGAAGACTGCACGTTACAGACTCTAGTGTTGAGTGATCCAGCAGCTGAGAAAAGTGACTCAAACATGTTAAGGAAAAGGAGAAAGCTTAGAAACATCATAGATAGCAAGAGGAAAGAGGCCTAAGCAAACACTAATAAAATTATTGGTACACCATACTGAGGGCCCAGTCCAAATGTAAATCCAGGAATTGTAGTGAAGCCAGTTGCTTATTGTTTGACATTTTCTTCAGGAATACTCAACTGCCTCTCCAAAGAACAGAGAAAGTGGCCTTTACCATCTGTAGAATTAATATTGTAGTTTTGGCAGAAGGATATCAGTTTAAGGAAACTGAGGCCGCTGATGACAATAAAGCAAGTAGTCAACTATAGAGTTCAGTATGGATGTGTAATGAAGATGGGTATAGAGTCAAGGGACCGGCAATCTATGAGGCTCAGAAAACAGGTTTGATGGGATAGTGAGTGTTTAAGAGAACTGCTTGGGGGTAATAGTATGCAAGTTTAATTGTAGTTGTCTGTAAAATCTACCTGGACACTAGATTATCCAACAGAGATGTACTTTTTGAGTGTGAAGTAAAACAAAGAGAACTGGATTATCTTGTAGTTTTCACCCAAGTTCTGTTGCTGTTGTTGTTATGTGCTGTCGAGTCGGTTCCGACCCATAGTGACCCTGTACAGGGTTTCCAAGACCGTAAATGTTTACGGGAGCAGAAAGCCTCATCTTTGTCCCATGGAACTGCTGGTAGTTTCAAACTGAGGTTAGCAACCCAACTTGTAACCACTGTGCTACCAGAGCTCTAGAAGGGCCTAATAAACTCTGGACCAATTATTAGAAGGTATATCTTTCTAAGAAGAAGCCTTGGTAGTGAAGTGAATCACAAGTTGGTCTGATAACCACAAGGTAAGTAGTTCAAATGTACCAGTCACTCCGTGGAGAAAGATCAGGCTTTCTGCTCCCTTAAAAATTTACAGAAACCCTATACAGGGCCACTATAAGAAATGATTCAACTGTACTCCACCACCACCAACACCACCACATCTTTCTCCAAGTAGTTCTGGTAGTGCAGTGGGTTAGGCACTGGGCTGTGAACCACAAAGTCAGCAATTTGAAACAACCTACAGCTCTGCAGGAGAAAGATTGAGGCTTTCGATCCCATAAAGATTCCCAGCCTTAGAACCCCTATATAGGGTTGCTATGATTTAGAACGGACTCAAAGGCACGCAGCAGCAACAGCGGCATATCTTTCTCATAACTGAAACACCCATGCCTTGTTGTTGCTGGGTGTCATTGAACTGATTCCAACTCCATGTTACAGCATAGAACTTCCCAATAGACTTTTCTAGGAGTGTGGTGCTGTGGGTTAATGCTCTAGACTGCAAAGTCAGTTTGGACTATAAGGTCAGCAGTTCAAACTCACTAGCTGCTCCTCAGAAACCCTCTACAGGTTCACTATGGGTCGAAACCGACTCGACGGTGCTTAACGACAACAATAACATCTTTATGGAAACAAATGACCAGTCTTCTCTCCCACAGATTGTTGTTATTATTGTTAAGTGCCGTCAAGCTGGTTCCAACCCATAGCAACCCTGTATAGGGTTTTCAAGGAGTAGCTGACGAGCTTGAACCACCAACCTGGAGGTTCAAACCAACTTTGAAGTCCATTGTATTAACCCACAGCACCACACCAGGACTGCCTCCCACAAATGTTGTTGTTGTTGTTAAGTGCCATCAAGTCTATTCCAACCCATAGCGACCCTGTATAGGGTTTCCAAGGAGCAGCTGGTGAGCTTGAACCACCGACCTTATAGTTCAAACAGGTTTTCAGTCTGGCACATTAACCCACAGTGCCACACCAGGACTCCTACAAATAGGTAGATTTAAACTGCCAATCTTATATTTAGCAGTCAAGTGCTTTACTGTCATGCCACTGGCACGCCTTGTTGTTGTTGTCAGGTGCCATCAAGTCGGAACCAACTCATAGCAACCCCATGCACAGCAGAACGAAACGATGTCCGATCCTGGGCCAACCCCACCACCGCTGCCATACTTGAGTCCATCAATGATGCCACCTGGCTGATTCATCTTGTTGGGGGGTCTTCCTCTCTTTCTCTGACCCTCCATCTTACCCAGCATGACATCCATTTCCAGCGACTGTTTCCTCAGGACAATATGTCCAAAGTATGAGAGACGAAGCTTAGCCATCCTGGCCTCCAAG